GCAGGCGTTTTCCTCGCCTTACCTGCCTGACCGTCGCTGTTACTAACGGAAATTATTTCCTTAATAACGGTTGCAGGGAGTTTTGGAACAGGCCTTTGTTTACGAACAGGGAATTGTGCCTGTTTCGCATCCGTGCTGCGACTGAGCGTGAGGTGTAGCTGTCATCCTTGTCTGGAGCCCTCTAGAAATGAACTTTCGGGTTTAAATTCACTTTCTATACAAGGGAAGGACTTGGAAGGGGGAGTGAAGCAAACATCAGTAAAACGAAACATTAGGACGCCAACTCGTTCCTAACATCCTGTCTTCAAGGGCTGGTCAGAGTCTACATGGTAACGAGATTCGAGATTTTTCGTTAAGTTGCTCTAGGCAGAGAACAAACCTGTGCAGCCAGGGCTAGTTCCTGTGCAGGTTACGCTCCAGCAGCGTTTCCTGTCTTCACGGTGCTAAGACATGTCAGTAGAATAAACCAAAGTTGCTCAGTACCCCAAAATGAACACTTTTGAATACAGTGAAGTACGTGGAAGTACTTTCCCTAGCGCTCCGACCACACTGTCACTTATTTTCTCAGGAAGGAGAAAATTTGCCATGCGATGTTGTTATCAGACATTGGGGCAATTGATATTTAACGTCTGTTTTCATGTTTTGTGAAAATAAGCCATTGGTTTTATTCTTGTTTAATAGCCCCAAAACATGTAGCTACCTCTTAAGAAAAAATAGTGATTGTCACTTGCAACAACAGGGTTTTGGAAGCTGGCATGCTGCAGCTCTGAAGTCAGGAGTCCCTAAATCTGAAGGAGGGCATTATCACCATTGGTAGCTGTCCAGTAACCAGGTCAAAGAGGCATCTACTCTCAAGCAGTACACCTCTAGTAACTCTCCAGTGCTCTCTCTAAAACAGGAAACAAATTATCCCAGCTAGACAGTAGTGCTTTGCTTTGTTTTTTTAGCATCTCAAAAAGGCTAAGTCATTTCTTTAAAAAATTTCTCGTTTTAAATTAATACATCCACTCTGAGAAAGCTGCATAAGGTATGTATTATTATTACAGAAAGCTGATGTGTGTCTTACAGAAGGTTTACCATGCTGGTCCATAGAAAATTTCCCATAGTGAATATTATATATTACTTGAAAATTTATGAAAAGATCCTAACTGCAGTGTTTCATTTTCTTGTTTAAAATATCGCATAAACACTGAAATCTTTAAAGGGCCTGAAGCTAAAGATAACTAATTAGAGCTTTTTCTTCAGTTTACCTTTCTTTAACAAGTACCCACAGTGTGACAGGGACAAATTTACCCGTTTTCAGAGATTAGATATCAAAACCTATCCTCTTTGATCCCTTGATTTACAAATCCAGCAATACAGCTCCTTGGCAAATCCCATAATATTTCACTCTTCTTATAAGGCCCTAGGAAAAGAGGCTTTATATTATGTTTGAAAAGCTGAATAGATTTGGACTCTAGTAGACTAATTATTCTAAATAGATACTGAGTAACTTTAGACATCATCAAATAACATTTCAGGCAGTTGTTAGTATGTTGCCTCCCTGAGGAGGCAGGACAGGTTAGGTGCCCAGATTTGGTACCTGGAGAATTTGTAATGAAGACTACAAGCATTTGACAGGCCTTGTCAGGCCCATGATATGGATTGCAACCGTCGGAAAAGTGCAACTAAATAAATACAAGCACTGTGATTGCAATGCTGTGGCACTTCCATCACTATATAGAAGTGTAACAATAAAGTTCAGAAAGGACAGTTTATGTCTTAGAGCACTGGCTGAACTAGCTGGATTAGCTGCTTGACACAAATTTGATTGATATGTCCATTTAGACTGTTAGCTGTAAACAATTCTAAAAGGATGAGTACTGAAATAGAAGTACCTAATAAAAAAACTGACAGATGTGCATAACTGGAAGCTAGTCTAATAGATGTATTAAAGGCACAGAGCTGATATCCCTTCTCGGCCAACCCTTTTCTCAGTTCCTGCCGGCTATAGTCAG